AGGAGCATCGAATATGGCGAGGGGAGCAAAAAGTGGGAAGCGCGCTTGCATGGCGCCGATCACAAATGCAAAAAGAGGTACCAAAACAGTTACAGATTCCTAGGTCCTATGCTAATTCAGAAATTGAAATCACCATATCCACGTGTAAAGTAGGTGCGGGAAAAGGCAGTCCTACATCCATTTGTATTCCCACCAAATTCCCAGAGTTTTCCGCGACGTAGTCGAGAACATTCAAGCACAAAAAGGACACGCCGGGTTCCGTTTATTTCGAAATTTCTAACTATCGGGCCAAATTCCTAGCGCGCTTACTAAAGCACGCGCAATTCCCATGCATTTCCCAAATTTTGAAAACAGAATTTCAAGAACCGGTGAGACTGGAAACACGGGTCTCAACAAGGCACCTTTAATCAAAACAGAGAGGGGCCTTGTTGGCACGAGCAAAATTCGAAAAGAAAAAGAGAGAAAGAAGGGGTCCGGAAGATGGCGCGGGCTCAGAAGCTGGTACATCACATATGTGACGCTCAGGGGGTTCCAAAATTATGCGATCTCCTGATTGCATGCAGAAAAGCTGGTTAACATGGCGGAGGATGAAGAACGGGGCGAGAGGATGAATGAGGAACCCAGCGTATCAGGAGAGAGACCGTCCTCATTTGCGCAGATGATTGAGCCAGAGTTCATGTTGACGCCAACGTCAATTGCAATATCTTCGCGAGTCTGCTGGCTTGTGCTGCTAGGACCCCACGTATCCGGTCTTGTCATGAGCAACTCTCTACCTCTTGATGGGCGGAAGTCGTCCAGATGACGCCATCATGGTTCACCGTGTCCTCACTGGTGCGGCTGCATCATTGGAAGTTCACCCGGCGGTAGTCGACAAGGAGAGGGTTGTGGAGGGGCCGCGGTCATTCGAGTGGGAGTGGAGGGAAGTAATCCGCAGCTTCGTCACCGAGGTCGGCGAAGTGGACGATCCGGTGTGCGCGGAGGAAGCGATGATTGGGTCGGGACAGGGATAGAATATAGTCGGGGTACAAAGAGGGGATGGTACGGAGGACATTGTCCCGTAGGGACTCGTAACCTTCCACCGCGGGAAAGGTCCCGGAGATAATACAATACAACTCCATATGGTTGTATTGTCTCCAAGCGACGCTGAAAAGGAGGATGTTGAGAGGGAAGGAGGGAGAGTGATGGGGAAAGACTGTACATAGAAATCGCGCGGCGAAATGATGACAAAACAGTTGGTTAGTGAAGATACGGTAATTTAGGGGGAATTCAATGTGGGGGAGAGGGGAGAAAGAGAGGTAATCAAGGGGGCAGTGGAAGACGGGACGAGGACGGAACGTCCGGGCTGGGAGCAGGACGAGAACGAAGCGCAGAGGGAGCGGACGAGGGAGATGGTGAGCGGGAACAGCGGCGCCGGCGGGAGGTTGCTGCGCCATCGTGGCGACTGGCGGCGTCCGAGGGAACTTCGAAATTCAAAGCGGATCCTCCCCGAATGGCAGGTAACGCTCGAGTTGGAGGAGCCTCCCGGGGCTCAGGTGCGGACACCTCTTCTTCCTCTTTCGAAGTCGATCGGGCTTCCGACTCTTCTTCCTCTGACAGCCCCGCGATGGCTATGCGACCTGGGTCATCGTCCAGCGGTACTTCCCCGTTCTCCTGATGAGCCTTCCAGAATTTGTCAAAGTCAGAGTTATCCAGCGCGAGCTCGTTAAGGTCCAGAAAACACCAAGCCGTGGGGTCGTGATCGCTCAAGTACTGACCAAAGTCCTCCGTGCAGTTCGCCCAGATTACAGTTGGCGTCAACTTCCTCTCCAAAGTAACGGGTTCAGCCTGGCCTGGATCACTCGGATTAAAAGAGATGATGTCCGTCGGCAAATCGTCGACGAGTTGAGACAAGAACGTGAGAAGTTTGTAGGCGACGGTTGCTCGACCGCCCTTAGCGATTTCGCCACACAGATGTCCCACCAACATTCCGTCGGTTGCCACCTCCTCTGGCCACAACTTTGCTAGCACCAACGATATCTCGTTACAGTGTTCCAACTCCCGATTACTGTAATATCGCGACCAACAACATTTCACTGTAAGCATACACACGCTTATCGTCGCGAATTCAGTCCACTTACTGATGTAGGCTGGACTGAAAGGAGGGATCGAAGTGGGACGAATTTCCAAGGTGAGGAGGGGATCGGCCCAAGATGGCCAGATGATTGGAAGGTCGGAGGGGAGGGAGAAGGGAGAGAAGCGATTCATCGGCGTTCGGGGTAGGGATGAAGATGTGGAAGCAGACGAGCGGGCCGATCTGTGGCGCTAGTTCGAAGAGAGAAGGTATCGATACACTCGGTCCCCACCACTTGTCGTCCTGGCCGAGCCAGTCGCTGCCGCCAATCAGCCACCAACGCTTGCCCCCACTTGTAAAGACTAGTCACCACCGCGTCGAGTCGCTGCATGCCAATGGTACACAGATCGCCGCTGAAGGCCACGATCACCGTCACGTCGCTCTGAGTAGGCCATGAGAACTTGAGAACTTGAAGCGTTCAAACCCCGACGCTTCTGCCAAGATGACTACTGAACCCCGATCGGTCGATATTGTTACTTCTACAACGGCGCACCAGGCTCGATGACTGAAGAGCTGCCCAAATCGGAGAAGATCAGAACTGAGACGAGGGTGCGCGACTTGGCAAAACTGCAGCCAGGCTCGAGGTTGAAGAAGCTGGGGTGGAAGAACTGGCTCAATGACAAAACTCGTGGCGAAGGCGAAGGGGAGGTAGAGTCAGATGAAAGAAGGGAAGCAAGTTTTTCGTCTGCGCTGGAGGAAGAAGAGGAAGATGAATTAGGGTTCTCAGAAGGTATGAGGTATGGCGAACAATGGGAAGAGAGCTATGGCTGGCGCTGGCCTCAGGTGCGATGTGGACCGTGTTGGCTCCGTTAGGACCGACTTCCACGATGCGAAAACAGCCAGAGAATTTGGGAGAGAGTTTGCGGTCGCGTGTACATTTGCGTACTTGCACCAGGTCCCCTAGCTTATACGGGTGTTGCGGGCCTGCATTCCCATTCCGGGCCTCGTTGCTACGGACCTGTCTACCGTGGGCGAGTTCGGTCATTTTTTGTCTTTTCTGGGCTAGCTTAGGAATAGTCCTTTCCATTAAATTTGCATACCGCTTGGCCTTGGCTTTAAGAGCCGCACGTGTGTCCCTGCCCCCTTTTTCGACAATTTTCGAGATACCCCGATTATCGATACATGGAATGTTATTGGTCCGAAGCTGAAAGGGGGTGAATCCAGTGGACTCATGAGGGGTCACACGACGGATCCCGATGATTTGGTAGACAATCTCGGGCCAATGACGCGTGTCATTAGCCGCTAAATTCTTGCTGAGAGCAGTCGTAATCATGCGGTTCGCATTTTCGGCCAACCCGTTCGACTGGGAGACATGGGGAGCGGTATGTCGGAGAGTAACACCATGACGCATCGGTAATTCCTCTACCTAAGCTTTGAATTCAGACCCATTATCGGTTAGAATTTCTTCTGTATCTAGACTTCGATATATTTCGAGAAATGGTCGATCAACACAAAAAGAATAGAATATTCACAACGGTTGACTCGCTGGAAAGGGCGTTCTACCTCCGTCGGGACTATCGTATTCGGCCTGCGAATGGGTGCACGGTCGGCCACACAGACTAGATAGTTAGCAACCACGTGCTTTACATAATCCCGGATATTAGACCAGAACCATCGATTTTGATCGATAGTCGCTTCGGTGACACGTATTGCAAAATGAGCGGCCTGTTCCTCGTGCGCCGATCTAGTCCAGTCATACCTGTCGAATGGGTGGGGAACCGTCAACCATAATTTCCAAATGACCGTTGATCCATCCATAATCTCAGGACCTTTCGGTGGCTCGACGCCTATCGTGCTTAGTGGGATGGTCCAATGGCTGGCCAGGTAATTTAGCTAGTAATATTTTATCCGTCCATACTTCCGCCCGTAGGTATTTCTCGTTGTATTCAGGGTCGTCCGTTCGGGCGGCCTCAAATCGAACCTCCGTAGGAAGTTTGTCCGTTCTACACAGGGGGCGTCTCCATTCCTTATTGCTCATTCTGTATCGAACACACGCGCCATGCGCGCGATTGACACACGTGGCATATTCTACCCACCCAGTGAACCCAAACTCAAAGGGATAGCAGTCTACCCCATAAACCCGGGCAATACACATGCAAAAATAACACAATTTGTCTGGGAGATTGGCGAGAAAGTCCGAATGAGCCAAGGGAGCGGAATCGGTGGGAGAGCCAGAAGAAGACGGGGTCGCCATTGTTCCGAGAGAGAGAGAGAAAGAAAGAGAGAGGGAGGGACGAGATTGGATGCACGTGTCCGCTTAGCCCTTTGGCAGGATCTCCACTTGTCTGTACTAAGGCTCGTTCTTCGGCTCCGGGTCGTGCCACGGGATCACCTCCTCACTCCTGGGTACCTTGTTGGGGCGATGCAGTCGTGTCAGCCCGTCCGCGTTGTCGTGTCTATCGTGCTTTCGATGATGAATGTCAAAGTCCATACTCTGCAACGTGGTAGCCCATCGCCTGATCATACCGGAGTAATCCTTGGACTTCTTCAATGCCAACAACAATTCGTGATCGGTCACCAACGTGAACTTCCGGCCATATAAGTACGTCCAGAAGTGACTGATTCCCCACAAGACCGTGTCGCATTCCCCTGTCGGGGCAGAGTAGTTGCGCTTACAGGCGGACACCGATTTGGACGCATATTCCACCACGTGTTCGAGGCCGTCAGGTCCCATCTGGGCCAAGATCTCTGAGATCGCCTCGGGCTGCCAATCAGTGATGAGGACAACGGGTTTTTCAAGGTTCGGTCTTATAAGGACATGAGCCGAAATCAAGTCCGCCTTGAGTTCTCGGAAAGCTCGATCGCACTACGGGATCCAGATCAACAACTGCTTTTTTTCAGCAAGTTCGTAAGTGGTCCCGCGATCGCCGCGAACCCCTTGATAAACCTTCGATAGTATGATGCCAATCCCAAAAAGGCAAGTACTTGTGTCACGGATGTCGGTACTGGCGCGTCTTTCACGGTTGTACCCTCTGAGGCTTCGGCTGCAGTCCTTGGTCCGTAACCACGTGGCCGCGGAAGGAGATCTCGGTGAGGAAAAACTGACACTTTTCAACAACCAACTTGAATCCAGTGTCCTTTAGTGCGTGCAAGGTCCACTCGATGTGCTGTACGTGCCCTTTGGAGGAACTTGAATACACAAGGATATCATCCATATAGACAATCACACAATAAATGATTATGCTCTGCGCCAGCCGCGTTTTTTCGCATGAAGTTCTGGAAAGCCATGTTCATCGCGCGTTGAAACGTGGCTGGGGCGTTGCAAATCCCCATCGGGCATCGAATCCATTGCCAAGTTCATTCAAAAAGAATGAAAGTCGTTTTCGGACGATCCTTTTTTCAAACAATAAGATGGTGGAATCCACAACGAACATCAAACTTGCTAAAAAATCGGGCACTACCAATAGGATCCAAGAACTCATCGATCCGGGGAAGAGGATACACATCCTTAATCGTGACGTCATTCAACTTTCGGTAATCGATGCATATGTGAATTCCTCCCGCCTTCTTTGGCACAATCACCACTGGAAACGATCACGGTCCGATGGCGGGTTCGATCCACCCATTAGCTTCGAACTCCTTTATCCTCTGGAATGCGGTCGATTTTTGGGGCCAGTGAATACCGATAGAGAGTGCGGCTAATCGGTTGATGATCCCCTATAAGGATCGCATGCTCAATCACATTGGATAATCCAATATCGTTATCACGTACACTCAGTACCTTGGCATACCCATGCAAAACATCAATCAAGGATTTTTGAATCTCTCGGGGGACATGACTGAGGTATTGTGATCACAGGGCGACCAAAGATGTCAAGTGGCGTATCAATCCAATCCGTCCTCCGAGATCGTTTGTCGTTCATGTTCGAGAACATGGAGCTACTGGTTCGGACCGAGAAGACGGTGGCAATCATCTGTGATTCGACTGGACTAATCATTTCAGTTTCCTTAATTTCGGCATCGGTTTCAAACGGTGTTAGGAGGAGCGGTCAACAGAGGGTACGAAGCAGGAACGGGGCAATAAAGATTATAATTAGTTTTTATTAGCTTCGTCACGATCTGTTCCAACCGATCCATCTGAGAAGCCTGCATCTGAATCAGATTATTCATCCACTCGGACTGTTTAGGCGTGGCGATATGAATCATCTGGGCCAAATGCATGGTAGTAATAGGCATTGATGCAACATCCTGGGGCATTATGGTATTCACGGGTGCCATCTTTGAAGAAAGGGGAGGTTTCGAGGGAGGCAGGGGGTGATACGGAGAGAGATCCGTGGCGGGTCCATCCCGATAGTCGTAATAAGGACGAGGGTAAAATCGTCCCACCGCTCTAAGCCACAAACGCCGCTTAGCGGCCACATCTTGGATCGTGTCCGAGATGTCTTCATCCCCCTGACTGATATACTTGCGAGTATCCAGCAGATCTAGTTCAAGTTTTTTAAGCTATGATAACGGGTACTAGCTGGTTCATCTTCAGAGGAATTTTTTTCTGCAGCTTCGTTTTCAACACTGGATTGCAAAGATGATCGATGAATAAATCACGAGCAGCGTTTTTTTCCCGCCCTGATTTGTCGAATGCGGTTTGAAACCAATCCACAAAGTTGGGTAGCAGCTCTCCGGGTTCCTGCGGTCGGGTTTTTAGTACGAACCATGCAACATCTTCGCTGACTCCGTCGAACCTCCCTAGGAACGCCCTCTTGAACATATCCCAATCTACCCACCTATGCCTTCTAAGCCAGTCATGATCAGTGTTTCGTAGTAGCAGGCTAATGACGCGAGGAAGATCCTCGGCACCATACCCCTAAGCTTGCACGACTTCGAGCCATCCCTCGGGATTAGTGTAGTTGGGATAGAACGGGAAGGTAGAGGGGATGTTTACCATCACTCGGGGAGGTGTTCCATTAGCATCGACCATGGGAATTTCTGGTCGAGCTTCGGCGGACCTCTCTCGAGTGACGGGAGGACTAAGAAGGTTGAATCGTTTAACTAATCTTCCTCTCGCCAGCTCCTCTTACTATCATCAGAACCGACACGTGTCGGCTTCAATACCAACCTCGCGCTCTGTACTGCCTTCCGTTCGGAGTGTTTAAAATTGCGGAAGGGGCCCCAGAAAGGCAGCAAGGTGGGGCGTGCCAAGGATTTTTGGGAAATTCAGTGCGGGGACACGGTCAGAACCGAAATCCCCTGTGTCGGTCCGACTTAGTAAGAAGGGGGAGGGTCCGTCACTGCGCAAGTTTTGAGGGAGAAGAAGGCGCGCGCGGGACGCACGGTGAGGGGAAATTCAATCCAAAAAGTATCGTTGAACTTCCCATCGAGCCGTCGCTTTTCGTTTCACGTGGAAGGGGGCGGGCACATACTTGGTATCCCGCTTCTGGGTCAAGTCTCGACGCCGCTCATTACACAACTCTGAATCTGATGTGGAAGGCCTTAACCGAGTGGCTCTTTCCTTATGCTCATCTTCCTCTCGTACTCGGTAGTGAAAGCCCTTTGATTGGTACCGCTTGAAGAGGCGACAATCGCTGCACAAAGTGTTAGGCCAATGGGGCGCTACTGCCGACCACGGGATGACGATTAACTCATTAAACGGCAATAGCAACGTATAAGGCGGAAAGCGTGTGTCCACAATAACGAAACCAGCACCGACAAATCCAGAGCATCGGGTTTCAAGAGGGAAGTAGTATCTTCCGCCGATCTTGGCGACGGCTTCTCGTACGTCCCACTCGCATACATGTGTCCTCTTCTTGTTATACAGGAAGGGGCGTGGCGGGGATGCGGGAGGCCGACGCCCAATTGGCTTGGGACAATCGGTCCACATGGCAACAACGAAATCCTATCTAGCATGCATTCCATGTGTCAATCACAACGATCCTACGATCTAGTCGGAGACAAGTCTTTCAAGCAATCATCTCATTATGACATCATCCAAGCATTCTCGTTCATCTCCCACATACATTCATCGAAGGAAGGTGCAAAAATGGCAGTCACACACCACTCAGTTCTCTGTATGCTCTGCACCCCTGCCCCGTCATCCCCGTGACTAATTAAGCGTCAGTCAAAACAACCATCTTATCCCTCGTGTGCAATAGATTGACAAGTATCCATAACTGTTCATATCGTAGAGGTAGAGAGAGGAGGTAGGGAGGAAAAAATGCGGAGCAGACAAGATAGATGAAAATTACACCAAGATCCGATGATGAAAAAAAGTTTCTGGCTTAACTGCCGTCAAACTGAACTCACTCCAAAGGAATAGATTCGAGACAAGGAGGCGCATCCGCCGTGAAGTTCCACTATGGCCCCGGGCCATTCATCCATTCAACTTCAATCACTATCCTCGCAAGAGGAAACTCCTATTACGCAACGACTCTGATTGGCTACGATCGAACTCAGAAGGATCAACATGGCTTTCGCTGGACGATTATCCCCAAGTCCTCTCTCACCCTTCCCGGACTCAATCTTCATCCTCCCTCATATCTACCTCCCTTCCCGCAACTATAAATTCCACAAGCGCGTCCGCAAATCTCTCTCTCAACTCGTCTGCCAGCTTTCGGGAAGCAGTGGCTAGATGGTATGTGTGCAGTGCGAGTCGAAAAGTCCCAACGGGCTGACTGTAGCCTGACCGACGGTGCGGCTGATCGTCACGACGAACTGTGGGGTGACGATCGCAGTGGTGGAAGGTGGCACGTGACGACCGGGATCGTCAGTGCATCAATCAGTCAATCAGTATTTGTGTGTGTCAAAAATGAAAAAAAAAAAAAAAAGAATGTCTTTGACTTTTTTTTTAGTATTATATTTTTACCCTTTTATATTTGCATCCGTTAAAAAAAAAAGAATCAAAGAAATATGTGCAGTGTGCATCATGTTTATCCCACCACCAATAAGAAAAAAGCGAGAAAAAAAAATCCATTTTTTCATTACGTTTCTAAGGTTTCTTTTGATTAAAATACTTGCTCATTCGTTTTCTATTTTTTTAAATTAAGAAAACACTTCTAAATCAAAAAAAATATGTAGGTCACGCCCGACCACCTTTTTTTTTTATCTATTATTTATTTTTGTTTTTTAATAAGATAAATTTTAGGTCACGCCCGACTGCCCGGACCGTGGCCCTCGGTCGGGATCCCGACCGCAATTTGAGTTTGACCCCGCGGACATGACTGCAGGGGATACATAGGCGGTAAGGAACCCGCGGGGATCGATATGACTTTTCTCGGGGGATTTACCTGAACTCTCCCTTCGCCCCTCCTACCTCCACCCCGTTCCTTCCCATCTTCTATCCTCCTCTTCGCAACTATAAAATCCTCAAGCGCATCCGACAAACTCTCTTTGAAACCCATCTGCCAACTTTCGGGAAGTCGTGGCTAGATGATGTGTATATATGGCAAATTGAGAGCTCCTTACGAGCTCACTTTGCAAGGCTGTGCGCTTGGTGCCCACGACGGACTGTGGGATCTAGGCAAGTCGGTGTAGAAGTTAAGTTTGCGGGGTGAGGATTGTTGCGGGGTGAGGTTGGTATGTGGCGGCCGGGATCGCCGGATGTGTATGTACAAGTGGATGAATGACCCGGGGCCATGGTCAGGGAGCAAAAAGCTTGCGCGCCTTCGATCTTCAGTTCCTCCGCTTCTTATATTGAAAGCTAAGTTGCTGGTTTTGGTTCTCAGATCAACATTTGTGCTCATAACTCCTCCTTTGTCTTAGTCTCATTCTTAGGTTAAGCTATGACTCCGACTACCTCCTTCGGCCTCATCTTCCTTCTCTCTCGTCCTCTGTCTTTTGATATT